CGCCGGTGCCTGCGCTGGTGTGCACGGCCTGGTCCCGCGCACTCCCCGGGGAGAAGCACAGGCAGCGGGCCGGCCCCGCAGCACACAGAAGGGCCAGGCCTCAGATGCATCGCCATTGTCGTCTTGGCCTTCAGCACCTGGAAACTCTTGCTGCTTCGAGGCCTTGCTGAGCAGACCCCGAACCTACTTCTGCCCCTCAGGACCGGGTCCTCACTCTTCCCTACGCTGCCTCCGGAAACACGGATGGAGCTGGGGCAGGGGGAACACACGCCCGTAATCCCAACACCTCGGGAAGCAGAGGCGGGAGGATCGCAGGTTCCAACCCAGTCGGGGCAAAAAAAGGCGGTGGGTGTAACCTGGTGCAACAGCCTTGTTCCACCTCCGCACCACCACACTCGCGCAAAGGCAGGCGCTGGAAGGACACCCTAAAAACGAGAGCACAAATACCTTTTGTGTCACGTTTATTTTCTTGGTGGGCTACTCTGAAACCAGCTCATAGTGATTTACAGAACATACGAGATTCCAGTCCTGGTCTGTAAATCATAGGTTCTTAGAAAATTTCTGGACTGAAACCCCTCTTTATACTCTATGTGATTACAGAGAAATCCCACATTTATGAAGCAAAACTAAACTGTAAGGGAGAACGACTCTATTGCTTCTCTGTGAAATCTAATACCTGGGTTGAAACTATTGGGGAAGCGGATAAATTTGCTATTATCCTTTCCTCGAGCCACCTACGTTCGGCATGGCGGCCTGATAAGTGAAGACCTACTGTCCTCATTCCGAGGTGGAACCGTCCGGCTGGCCGCTTGATAAATAGCTTAGATAGGAGGCCTTACAGCTGATACCGCCAGCAGAGGCCCCAGGAGGATTGGGGGCCCACGGGGCGCTCGACCTCCCCCAGGCCTGGGCCGGGCTGCCCCGCCCTGAGCAGGGAGCACAGCCCTGAAGGACAAATCCACGCTCATAGCACTGTAACCCCCTGGCCCAGGAGTGGGGAGCTGAGCCCACCCTCTGCTCCCTTCACCTGCAGATGTCGGACTCCACCCTCCACGCCTTCACCTTCTCCTCCTCTATGCTGGGAGAAGAGGTCCAGCTCTACTTCATCATCCCCAAGTCCAAAGAGAGTCACTTCGTCTTCAGCAAGCAGGGCAAGCACCTGGAGAGCATGCGGCTGCCCCTGGTTTCAGACAAGGTGGGTGGGGGCCGGGCGAGGCCTTGGCACAGGACGTCAGGCTCACTAGCTGCTCGCCTCTCGGGGTTTTACTCCCCTGTGCTCTATCATTTTGCTTCCTTTTCAGCAGAATTTGAGTGCGGTCAAGAGCCCTATTTTCACTCCTTCCAGTGGTCGCCACGAGCACGGACTCCTAAACCTTTTCCACGCCATGGAGGGCATCAGCCACCTCCACCTGCTGGTGGTCAAAGAATATGAGATGCCGCTGTACCGCAAGTACTGGCCCAACCACATCATGCTGGTGCTCCCCGGCATGTTCAATAACGCAGGCGTGGGTAAGGGGCTCCGGAGGCGCCGGCCACTGCTGGCCAGGAGGGGAGGGTCCTGGCTTCGTCCCGGGGTAGCCGCGAGGACAGACGGCCGAGGGGGGCGCTCTGGGGCAGCACTGCTGAGCCCCCCACACCCCGGAGGAGCCTTTCCTGGTTCCCGGGGGCTAAGAGCAGCCCCAGGGCTCTGACCCCACTCTCCTGAGGTGCAGGACACCACTTCCCGCATGGGCCGGCTCCTGTGCGATTTCACTGACTCAAGTAACGTGGGTCATCTTGTCACGTGCTTGTGGGACACTGTGTATCCACGTCTCCAGACCTTTCTTTGCTCATTTCTCCAATAGGATAATTTATTAGATGACAGAGGTTCTTCATATACTGGATTCTGGATATTAACCCCTTATTGGACATAGTTGCAAATACTCGTTATTTATTTACAGTCACCCATTTCATGGACTGCCTTCCCACTCTTTGATATACAAAAGTTCTTTTATGAAATCCTGCTTGTCCTTTTTTTGTTGTTGTTACTGGGGATTGAACTCGAGTCCTTGTGCTGGCGAGGCAGGCGTCAGAACCACTGAGCCCTTCTTTTCCTTTTGCTGCCAAACTCAGTGTCATAAAGTCTCCCTCTGCGTTTTCTTCTAAAGGTCTAAAGTTCTAGCTTTTAAAGTTAGGTCACTGATCCTCATCTCATTAATTCTCGCATAGCGTATACATGCACTGTTTGTCAACGCCATTTGTTGGACAAACCTTTCCCGCTGAATGGCCTTGGCTCCCTCATCAAAACTCATCTGACCATTTCAACGGGGCTGACTTCCCGGCTCTCTGTGCCTTTACAGTCACCCAGGCTAGGCCTGAACTTGCGGGCCTCCTCAGTTCAGGGTGCTGGGATTACAGATGCGTGCTGCCATGCCCTGCTGGAATTAAAGTGTTGTGGCGGTCTGTTCATTTTTAGCTTATAAAAATGCGACCAATTTTTAGTGGTTTTGTCTACAACACTGTTGAATTCATTTATTTGTAACAAGGTTTTCTGTGGAGTTTTTACTATTCTTTCCAAGTAAGATTCGTCCAGGAACAGAGTCCATTTTACATCTTCCTTTCCAATTGAGATGACTTTTTCTTGCATAATTGTTCTGGCCAGTACTGTTTCTCGATAGAAGTGGTTGGTACCACTGGGCATTCCTCGCCTGTTCCTGGCCTTAGAGGAATCTGTCCTTCGCCCTTCACTAGCACAACGGTAGCTGCTTCCCATGTGGCCTTTATGATCCTGGGAAGGCAAACTACTGAACACTAGCTCTTGGGACACTAAATCTCAGCGTTCTCTTTGATGCAATGAAGCTGTCAAGCTCCTCCATGGACTGAGTGGTCTATCGAGGCCTCTGTTTACCATCTATGTCCCATCTCATTTTAGGGCAGCCACTCATCAAATGTGGCCACTTCCCAGTGATCAGCCTCTTAATCCCCGCTAACACTCACTGATCCTTACCCTTTAGGTGCAACTCTGAGGCCGTCACCACCTTCTTAGAGGTAGGGATGTAAGATAGTGGAGCCGCCCTGTGCCGGTCCCATGGCTGGAAAGCGGCGCAGTCAGGCCCGACGCTCAGCAGCCTGTTTCCTGTCTATTCTCACTACTCCTTCCACTCTGGCTAAAAGCAGATCTCAGCCAAGGTGACAGAACTTTCTCCAGAGATGTGGCTGCCCGTGTCCTGAGGGTGCCTCGAGCGGGGTCCCATCAGTGGAAACGGCTTTCCCCCACACCGCACCCCTGGCTGCGCCCTAGTGTAGGCCCGGCCAGTGGGTGGCCACTTTCAAGCCTGAGAGCTTCCCGCTGTGGTTGAAGGAACTTCTCGGCAGCAGCCTTATCCTCTTGCGCTGCCTCAGAGTGCAGTTCATGGCCTTCACCAGACGAAGCGACTCTAGCGACAGGCTGGCCTCCCGGTGCCTCACTCTCAGAGCATGGGCTGGCGCCTCCCTGCCTGGCCGCCCGCCTGGGCCGAGGGAGGATGTGTAGCCGTGGTCGTGCTGCCTTCCAGGTGCTGCCAGGTTCCTCATTAAGGAGCTGTCGTATCACAACCTAGAGCTGGAGAGGAACCGCCTGGAGGAGCTGGGAGTCAAGCGCCAGTGCGTCTGGCCTTTCATCGTGGTGATGGACGACTCCTGTGTCCTGTGGAACATTCACAGCGTTCAGGAGCAGACCAGGTAGTGACACTCTGAGCAGGGCACACACACCGCTGCTAGCACGCTGGGTGCTGGCTCGGGCCTTTGCCCCTAGATGCACAGGGACCACTTCTGCCTCCCGGGGTTGCTTGGAGAATCTGTTGCAACACTAGGATTTCTCTATAAAGACTGCTGCGTCTGAATCAGAAAACCTGGCTTTAGCTCCAGCTCTGCCTCAACCACGTAGGTGAACAGTCGTTGTTTCACCTCTGTGCCAAGTCAAACCACAGTTCTCCTGAACAGCGCTGCCCTCCTAGAGGGTGCTGTGGGAGGTCAGAGTGCCGGGGAACGGGGGGTGCAGGGGTCCACGAAGATGGGGGATGCTAAACCCTGAAAAGCCCCATCCAATAAACAGCCCTAATCCTCACTGTGCCAGGTGACCCCCAGTCCCCTTCCAGCCAGGCATTGTGTGTCCTTGTTTCTGCTGTGGGCTTGAAGCCAGTGACTTCACGTATGCCTTTACTGTGACAAGAAGTGGAGAAGCATCCTTTAGCGCTTCTAACGTGTGGCTCTCTGGTACTGGCTGGACTTCTGCCTTCAAGTGAGAAGCCCCACACTAAGGCAGCTGTTGAAGTCATAGTGCGAGGCCACAGGAGCGCCGAGCTGAACCCCCCGCCTTATTCTGGGGTGATGCGAGTCTACCAACTCACCGCAGCTGTTCCAGCATTGCGACTGTGCAGTGATCTTAACTTTACCTTTTACAGCCAATCTGTGGAAGGAGTTTGCAGTAAGAATGTGTCCTTGAAGAGTGTCTTGCAGCATATTGAATCCACACCAAAAATCATCCACTACGCGATCCTGGGCATACAGAAATGGAGCAGCAAGCTGACGCATCAGAGTCTGAGGGCGCCGTTCTCTAGGTGCCATGTGCACGACTTTATTCTCCTCAACATTGACCTGACTCAGAACGTGCAGTATGACTTCAACAGGTAGGCCAGACTCCAACCTCCGCAGTGTTTTTATCCCTCTGTCTTGGGCCCTAAGCCCCCTCAGAATACCTAGAATACCTAGGTCAGTGAAGAGAGCTTTTTTGGGTTTTTTTTTTTTTTGGG